TAGCCTAAACCAGACTTGGTTTATCTGTTGACAGTAGTAGCCTAAACCAGACTTGGTTTATCTGTTGACACTAGTAGCCTAAACCAGACTTGGTTTATCTGTTGATACTAGTAGCCTAAACCAGACTTGGTTTATCTGTTGACAGTAGTAGCCTAAACCAGACTTGGTTTATCTGTTGACAGTAGTAGCCTAAACCAGACTTGGTTTATCTGTTGACACTAGTATCCTAAACCAGACTTGGTTTATCTGTTGATACTAGTAGCCTAAACCAGACTTGATTTTTAAAACCACAATTGACGATATGTAGCTGAAGGATTTAAAGTTACCAAGTACTTGACAATTTGGAACACCAAGTAAGAAATCCACGTGAATTTATAGATATATTTCAAATGATATTCAGCAGCTTACATTCTAGCAGAATTCAGTTGAAAGTGGCCCCCTGGGGACTGAGTGGTAAGTATGAGGGCTTATATCGCTAAAGATCGGGTTTCGATACCCGTGGTGGGCACACCACAGTTAGTCTCGTGTGTAGCTTTGTGCTTTACTACAAACTACGAAACGATATTGCAATGTGCAGTGAATAGCGCCATCACACGGAACGTTTAACAACTAAGTGGGTATTTTGGCAGTAAATTTTGAAAACAAAACGACCTTTTTAACTTCAGATAATAACTTTTTTTTTTATTTCAGCTAACGTTTCGCCAAAACGACCAATGCTCTCCAGATAATTATATCAGCCGAGTTTCGCCCTTGTGACGTCTGAGGGATTTTCATAATTCTTCTCAAACGGCTTGTGCGTTTCGTTTTGTCTAGCTGTATTGTGCGTTTCGTTTTGTCTAGCTGTATCATTTCCACTTCTTGTAAAGTTCGGTATTACGTTGGCAAGGCTTGTAAAAGTAATACTATAATCTTTAAACAAACCTGTGTTCTTACTAGTCATGCTGTTATGATCTCAGGAAGAATGCGTTGTGTTTAATCCGTGAACAAGCCTGAGTTCTTACTAGTCATGCTGTTATGATATCAGGAAGAATGCGTTGTGTTTAATCCGTGAACAAGCCTGAGTTCTTACTAGTCATGCTGTTATGATCTCACTCAGGAAGAATGCGTTGTGTTTAATCCGTGAACAAGCCTGAGTTCTTACTAGTCATGCTGTTATGATCTCAGGAAGAATGCGTTGTGTTTAATCCGTGAACAAGCCTGAGTTCTTACTAGTCATGCTGTTATGATATCAGGAAGAATGCGTTGTGTTTAATCCGTGAACAAGCCTGAATTCTTACTAGTCATGCTGTTATGATCTCACTCAGGAAGAATGCGTTGTGTTTAATCCATGAACAAGCCTGAGTTCTTACTAGTCATGCTGTTATGATCTCACTCAGGAAGAATGTGTTATGACTAATCCGTGAACAAGCCTGAGTTGTTACTAGTCATGCTGTTACGATAGAAAACACAGGACTTCAAGATCGTTAGAACAAAAATTGTTTACTTTTGGTCTTATTTCAGTAGACTCGTTAATAGATCCTCATTAAGGTGTTTGTTAACAACCGATTGAATACAGTATCATGATAGAGAATAGAAACTACTTAATCCATAATCTAAATAATTTAATAAAGTAGAGATTATCATGGCAATGTCTAAAGGTGGCTATCTAAGTACTAAATTAATTTATCAATAATAGACATCGGTCTTCTCGTACGTTTTCGTTGCTCCTTCAGTGTTTCACCTTGGCTGATAAGTAGAACGTAAGCCATAGCACGTGCCTCCCTAAGGGCAGGTTCTTTACCTGCTACAAAATATATATATAGCTCAGAGATGTACGAAAAACTTCACAAGTCAGAGGTCAAAGAAGTGAAGTGATAAACTTAGAAACACTATGTGTGAAATTAGGGCACGAGCTGATAAAGACTGTATTATATGTTTCAACGTTGAGGTGCGGGTCGTGAGCGCTAAGTTTTAATAGACCTCGTAGTTCAAACGTTAATTAGATGACACTCTATTTGGAGCCATACCGGGGGAAAGGAAGGGGGGATGCACCCTCGTAAAAAATTTTTTACAATCTTCACTGAAAATAGTATTCCACTCTTTTTTTTACACCCTTAAAATATATCTTAAACCTATACGGGGGCAAATTAGACGGTGCAACCCCCCCCCCCCTCCATCCTCCGGATAGTTTTTCTTGTATTACTCTCCGTGAATCATGCGTTATGACCCTTCTTATATTACTGCTTAAGAATTAATCGTTACTGGTCACTACTGAATATGTCCAGTGACTTACTTAAAGATGTAACTCGCTTCCTTCGAAACTGTAAAAAAGGTCTTGTCGGACCTGCAGTGACCTATATAGTCGGAGGTGTAATATCTCCGGTGACCTTTATTCTAGGACTTTAACAGATTCTGTGTTAGACCAGTAAATAATGTCTATTCAATATCCACACGTCATAGGCTGGTCCTGGCCTAGTGATTAGAGTGCCGAACTGTAACAATGAAGGTTGCTGTAACCTTTGTTGACCTGGGGTCAAACACTGAACTGCAAACCACCTCAACCGTTTTTGGACACTAACAGACACCATTAATCGGTCAAGTGTTAAATAACTCGTACACTCTACTGTATAATAGGGTAGAAACGACTAACCTTCATTAGTCAGAACAACCCACCCACTCGTAGTGAAAACCAAAACATTCGTTCCTATTTATAAAGATGAGATTTCATTAAGGATGTAAGTTTGAGACGTTTGTCAGATTTCATTAAGGATGTAAGTTTGAGACGTTTGTCAGATTTCATTAAGGATGTAAGTTTGAGACGTTTGTCAGATTTCATTAAGGATGTAAGTTTGAGACGTTTGTCAGATTTC